CCTCCCAGTAAGTCCGAGCGAGGCCTGCGTGCCAGACCAGGACGCAGCCCTTGCTGGCAAGGCCCGCAGCGGTGGGGTGGTCGAAGCCCTTGCACATGATGTCCCTGCAGGCGGTCTTGGCTGGAGCAGCGACGCTCGCCGCGTCGCCCGCCTTGTAAGCCCGACGCTGGAGACCCTCGAGCGGCCGTTAACTGATGAGTCTTCTGATGACAAGGGGGTGGCCACCACAACTTTGGATGCAGAGCTTGATCCCTTTGACGTGCTAGAGGAAGAGGGGCTGCCCTTCCAGGGGGAGTCCAAGATTCCAGTGCAGGGACAACCGCTGCCTGATCAGGCCCAGCACGAGCCTGCGGGATGGCGAGCGGATTGGAATGACACGACAGTCGAGGCACTGGACGTTTCGGATCGTGATGGGCTTCAGGTGGTCACAGCCAACGCCATTTCACTCGGCGCACTGATGAAGTACCTCACCACGGCAACTGCCGAGGTGGTACTGGCGCAGGAGACCCTTGCCAGCGAAGTCAAGATTCCTGAAGTAAAAGCTGATGCGCTAGACCTTCGCTGGAGAGGACAATGGCTGGAAGCCCCCCCAACGCCTGGCGGCGGCGCGGATGGAGGGGTACTTGTGTGTGCATGCAGAGAGGAGGTGGAAATGGATTCCATGTTGTGGCCACATCAGCCATTGTGCTTTTTCTCGCCACGAGGGCGAATGCAGCAACGGCGCCGCGTGTTGAAAATGCCCAGGGCTTTCCCGCGAGAAGCCCGCCCTGGATGCGCGCGCTTCCCTGTCGACTGTTGTTCAGATACACATTCGGTGCATGAGGCGTGCAGCGTGCAGCAACTGGTGGCAGCGTGGGGCGTGGCACTTGTCAATGCGGAGCAGGAGTTAGCTAACCGACGCGACTTGGTGGGCAGGTCGCGCCAAGCACGCTGCGGACGAGCAGGGGCCCCTGAGTTGGTCACTGAGCAGGTGGCGTGGCGGCCTGCTCGGCGGCGGGCCAGACGCGGCCAGCAAGCCGCAGCCTGGGCTGCCGCTGCAGTCTGGGCGCAGCATCTGCGAGGCGTCGGGGCAGCGCTGGTGAAGCACGTCACCGGCTTGCAGCAGTGCGGCACCGAGCGCCGCGCCTCTCGCGTGCTCCGCCGACTGGCTCACCAGTTCCAGGGGCTGAGCAAGTGCATGCAGCGAGTGGGGCGCAGCCAGCAGGTGCTCCAAAACCTGTCGGCTGAGGCGCGCGCCTTTTTCACTGCTGGCTTGGACTGCCTCCTGCGTGAACAGTTCGAGGTGATGCTAACGCGGGTCCAGGGCCATCGCGAGCTGCTGGGCCGAGCTGCAGAGGCCAATGCGCACGGAGCCTGGCAGGAGTGGGCGCGAGCAGCCTTCGCGGGAGGCGCAGGCCAGGCTCATCGTTTCATGAGGCCCAAGGTGCAGGTGGTTTTGCCACTGACCAGAGGCTCCTGCCAGCCAGCCGAGCTTGCCGATGCTGAACTACAGCAGTCGGCATGCATCTGGTCACATCATGGGCTGGCACCAGCGGAGCTACCTTCAGGTGCGGAGCACTGGCCTGAGCTGGAGCCGATCACGGTGGCACAGCTACGTCAGGTGCTGGTTACCTTCCCGCGCAACTTAGCGGTCGGCCAATCTGGGATACATCCGCGCCAATTACAGCACATATCGTGGTTGGGAAACGCGTGGGCCGACTTTTTCGCTTCTGTCTCGTTGCATGTAGTCATTTTTAGCCCGACTTTCGGTGGAGGCGTCGAAGGGGGGCTCGCAGAGGCTGCAAGCCGTGCGAAATTTGTGGCCCGGGCAGGCTCCCAGGTGTTGAGCTCCAAGCGGTGGTCGCCGCAGGAGGAGGGGCCCCGTTTGCCTCGCCATCCCACGCTGCCGCCTGCTCTTTCCCTCAACCAGCATGACTTTGTCGCGGACAAACATGGCCTGCGCTCCAGGCTATGCAGTCGAGTGGTGTGTTCAGTCCGCGCGATCAGAGGTCTCTGGAGCAGGCCTTGTAAGGCCACGGCGCTCTCACAAGTGCGAGCTAAGGTCATCCTTGAGAGCGTTAGCAGCCCCGCGCCGAGCGCTGCCGAGCCTAGGTTCGGAGTTGGCCTTGCGATGGCGGTAGCGCTGGCAGCTTCGCGGCAGCGCGAGGATTCGCCTGGGCCGAGGCCGCCCGCCAGCAACAGCCGCTCGCCCAGACGGCAGACTGGCCCTGCTGGCCAAGCCGGTATGGAGGAGAACGGAGGGTCGTCGTCGCTTTTGTCGTCGTCCTGGCGGGGGGTTCGGAGGAACGGAGCCGCGAGATGGCCGCTCGACTGCTGCAGGTGGCCTCCCGACCCTTGACAGAAAGCGAAGGCCCGAACCAGCGGGGGCAGGCCAACCACGCTTCTTTTGCTTCAGAGGGAGTTTTAGCGAGCACTGCCAGCGCTAGTGTGCAAGAGGCCCCCTCGACAAGCTTCGAGCCAGCCCCCCCCCCCCGAGAGCGCAGAAGCGCGCGGCCAAGCCTGTGAATATCACGGCCAGCGCTAGTGATGCAGGCGTCTCGGCTGACAGCACGCCAGTGCACCAAGCTTGTGGAGCCCCCACCTGCCGAGGCCAGTGCCAGGCCAGAGGTGGGTGAGCCCTTGGGGCGCCAATTGCTTCTGCGAGCACCGCTTGCAGTTTGCAGGAGATGTGGGGCGTGCGCTCGAAAGAAAGGCAAGTTGTTGGGCGAAGAATGCAAGGGCGATTTGCCCCCCCGTGCATCTTCGGAAATCCCAGGCAGACCAGATGCGATCGCGGCGCCGTGATAGGTTTGTTGAGGGGCGGCGCCCCTTGACAGGACTGCCTCTGGCTTAGGTGCTGGTAGCACCGCGAGTGTAGCTGATCTTTCTGTCGAGCTATCGTTCGATAGTTGAGCCTTGCTGGCACTGGGATCGTGCGATCCACCTTGCCCGCGATGCCTGCGAGCTGCTGCAGCTCGGTATTCCTGGTGCGCGAGCTTGCTGGGCCTCTGGATGGGTGTTCTTGGAGGCCCTTTGGTCCAAGGCGGTGTTCGTTTCACTCGTGATTCGGACGCCGTCCCTCGTTGGCCGACGCACAAAACATCCATTCACACAACAGCGCCCACAGGCGCACGCACACAGGCACACGCACACAGACACGCGCACACGCACACGCACACGCACACGCACACGCACACACAGACACATACACACACGCACACACACACACACGCACACACAGAGAGGCAACATACGCAGACCGCAGGAGCACGGCAGAACGGCACGGCTTAACATAGCAGTGCCGCAGACCACCACGCACGGACACACATGCACATATTCCACGCACGCGCGCGCACGCGCAAACGCACGCACGCCCCGCGACATATCTGCGCGGCAAACCAACAAAAGAGCATACTTCATATAGCTATACGACCACCCTTCGGGTGATAAGGAGGTCGTGTGGGGGGGAAGACACTGGGAAACCAACATCTGACTCACTCGATCTCACTATCGATCTCAGTCAACGGGACATCACGGGACACCACGAGACACTGCGGGCCACCACATCGATCTCACTATCGATCCCACTATCGATTTCACTCAATGGGCCACCACGGGACACCACGGGCCACCACGGGACACCACGGGACACCGTGGGACACCTCTCGATCTCACTATCGGTTTCACTATCGATCTCATTATCGATCTCACTCAACGGGACACCATAGGACACCACGGGACACTTCGGGACACCACATCGATCTCACTATCGATCTCATTATCGATCTTACTATCGATCTCACTCTTTGGGACACCGCGGGACACCACGGGACATCTGTCGATCTCACTATCGATCGCATTATCAATTTCAATTATTGGGACACCACGGGACACCTCGGGGCACCACATCGATCTCAGTATCGATCTCATTATCGATTTCACTATCGATCTCACTCAACGGGACACCACGGGACACTAACGGACTCTTGTCGATCTCAGTATCGATCTCAGTATCGATTTCAATATCGATCGCATTCAACGGGACACCACGGGACACCAAGGGACACCAGCGGGACACTGGCGGGGCACCGCGCGGCATTGGCCGCCAGAGGAGAAACATTTGGTCCGGCCGCGGCCCAGCCACAGGAAGATTTCGGGACACCCGCGGGACACCGGCGGGACACCGCGCGGCACCGGCCGCCGGCGGAGTTACATTTGGTCCGGCCGCGGCCCAGCCACAAGAGGATTTCTTCTCGCCCGCCCATGCAGCTTAGCCCGAAATCGATTTCCCGGTAGGGGGGGTCTCCGTTTCACGTCGGACTTACCCCCCAACCTTCGACCTAGTGGACAACCGCGACGCTTCCCGTTCTTGTCCGGTCAGGTTTCGCCTTCGCTTGCTGCCAGCGCTGGTCGCTGTTTGGGGCTACCGCTTGGGCGTCATCTTTTTCGGGTCGACTTGAGACGTGATGTGAAGATTTCAACGTTCTTCTCGTCGTCGTCGTCGTCGCTACGCCGCCGCTGTCACCGCCACCGCTTTGGTCGTCGTCGCCCTAGCACTGCAGTTCTGTTACAATCGTGTGGGCCTCAGGAGCTCTTGCTCACCGTCGTCTGTGCGGAGGAGATTCGGATGCATGGGGGCGAGGGTGGAGGGAAGCGGACGGCCGCAGAAGGCGTTTTTTCACAACTACCGTGCCTGGCAATGGCCATCCTGGGCCGTAGGATGATGCATGGGCCCTCCTGGCATCGGCCAGGAGGGCTCGTACACCATGCCAGGGCCCACGATGGCCCTGGCCAGTCGTGGTGCTTGGTGGTGCGTAGGCGCCTTCCGCGTAAGGCGTAAGAGCAGACCCTTGCTTCGGCGCCTTACCAGGCCCGCCCCTGTGCTGGGCGCCGCCGCCGCCGCCGACGTCGCCGTCGTCGCGGCCGCCGCCGCCGCCGCCGCCGCTTCCGCCGTCTCCGCCGCCGCCGCCGACGCCGAAGTCGACGTCGTCGACGCCGCCATCGCCGCCGCCGCCGCCCTCAGACGGCGCCTCCCGGCAGACCTCCGGCTCGGCACCCTCGCTCCGTCCATGCCCGGGCCTGCCCTCGCCGACCGGGGCTGCGCGCCACTCGCGGGCGACGCGCCGCACCGCGGGCGGCTCGCGGGAGATGACGGGCCGTCAGCGGCCGCGCCGCCCGCCGCGGGGGAAGGCCGCCCGAGCTGCAAGGGCAGGAGCAGCCGTCAGGGCAAGGGCAAGGGCAAGGGCAGGGGCAGGGGCAAGGGCAAGGGCAGGGGCAGGGGCAGGGGCAGGGGCAGGAGCGGCAAGCTGCAAGGGCAAGGGCAGGTTCACCGCCAGGGGAGGCCGTGTCCGCCGTGGAGCGGTGCTCCGGGACCTCGGGGGCCACGACCAGGAGTGCGCCAGGGGCGAGGGAAACGGGTCCCGAGGGTTTTCGCTGTCTTCGGGCCCTCGGGGCCCTCCACGGGCCCCGGGAGGGTCAGAAAACGACTCGTGCGCGTGCGTGCGTGCGTGCGTTGGTGGGTGGAAATGGCGGTGGGTGTGCGTGCGGCGGGGCGGGGCGTGGTGCGGCGCGGTGGTGGCGGGCGGATGGGCGCGCGAGAAAGAGGCCCGCGCTGGGGCGAGAACGCCATCCTGAACGACGGAGGCAAAACACCGATCCGAAAATGAGGCCCACGCTGCAGCGGGAGCACGATTCGGAACGATTCGGGAGCAGAAATGAGGCCGGCGCCTCAGCGAGAGCAGCATTTCGAAAAAAAACGCAGGCGAAAACCCAACTCCCAGGAATCCTGTGTGTAAAAAAACAGTACGCGGGGGGGGGGGTCTACTTCCTGGACGCCATCAGAGGAAGAGGGAGAGTAGTATTCATATTGATTAATTGTGGAAGGCCCCGGCACCATCGCGACTCGATCCAGCACGGGACGCCCTGGGGCCTTGCTTCCCCTGAGAGCCTCGGGCGCTGTCGTTCCTTCTGTCCGCACAGGGCGTGCTCGCCCGGCCTCTGGCCCAGGGGGCCATCTCAGCTCGGTCCGTCTCGGGTGAGGTCGGGCATGCCCTCCTGCAGGCGAGGACAAAACAAAGTAGCCAAGACATGTTTCAAACATGGTCAACAACAAACTCGAGAAGCCGTCCCCAGATCACGTCTGGACTTTTTCGGCATCTTCCTCCTGTGCAGGGACAGGCCCGACTTAAAGCTCGTGGGAATGCTGCAGAGAAATGCGGGCTGGGGCGCTGGTCGTTGGTTCGCGGTGCTGTATTCTGCTCCGCAGCGTCGGGTCACAGGGCATGCCGTGGCCCTACCGTGGCCCCATCGGCTTATGATGTTCCAACCTACTTTCGCCTTGACTGCCAGAAAGAAATCCGAGCAACAAGAAAGTGCCGAAACTTGAAGGTTTTCACGTGTCGGGCCCTGGGAGGCGATACTCGTTCGACACTGTTTCGATACTTGTCGCTCGGAATTCTCTATGGGATGTGGTACTTAAGTACGATGGGAGCAGCATGTCCATCGGCGCTTCCCCGGGGGTGCGTCGCCCTGGGGGGACGCGTTTGGCCCTGGCGATCCTGGGCGGACTAGGGAGGACGGGGCGCCGTTGGGGGTGGTGGTGGCGAGGGAAGGTGCATGTTTCGATCTCCTGCGCGTGCTCTTCGCAGGACGAGCCAAGATACTCTTCGTTGTCCTTGCTGGGAAAAGATGCATCTCTTGTGCCCTCAAGGGGCCCGAAAGGGGCCTCTTTGGGGCCCATGAGGTGAACGCGAGGTGAGCCCTCCCACCCCATTCACATATCGACCCCCCATTCGTTCACGCCCGACTCCGTACCCTCGATCCTCGAAGCCTCGAGCCTCGAGTCCTCGATCCTCGAAGCCTCGATGCTCGAAGCCTCGATCCTCGAAGCCTCGATCCTCGAAGCCTCGATGCTCGAAGCCTCGCTCCTCGAAGCCTCGATCCTCGAAGCCTCGATCCGCGAAGCCTCGCTCCTCGAAGCCTCGCTTCTCGAAGCCTCGCTCCTCGAAGCCTCGCTCATCGAAGCCTCGATCCTCGAGGCCTCCATCCTCGAGTCCTCGCTCCTCGAAGCCTCGCTCCTCGAAGCCTCGATCCTTGTAGCCTCGCTCCTCGAAGCCTCGATCCTCGAAGCCTCGATGCTCGAAGCCTCGCTCCTCGAAGCCTCGATCCTCGAAGCCTCGCTTCTCGAAGCCTCTATCCTCCTCGAAGCCTCGATCCTCGACGCCTCGCTCCTCGAAGCCTCGCTCCTCGAAGCCTCGCTCCTCGAGGCCTCGATCCTCGAATGTCTCGATCCTCGAGGCCTCGATCCTCGAATGTCTCGATCCTCGAGGCCTCGATCCTCAAGGCCTCGATCCTCGAAGCCTCGAAGCCTCGAAGCCTCGCTCCTCGAAGCCTCGCTTCTCGAAGCCTCGCTCTTCGAAGCCTCGCTCCTCGCCTCGAAGCCTCGATCCTCGAAGCCTGCATTCTCGAAGCCTCGATCCTCGATGCCTCGATCCTCGAGGCCTCGATCCTCGAGGCCTCGATGCTCGATGCCTCGATCTTCGAAGCCTCGATCCGCCTCGATCCTCGAAGCCTCGATCCGCCTCGATCCTCGAAGCCTCGCTCCTCGAAGCATCGAAGCCTCGAAGCCTCGCTCCTCGAAGCCTAGATCCTTGAAGCCTCGAAGCCTCGAAGCCTCGCTTCTCGAATGCCTCGCTCCTCGAAGCCTCGCTCCTCGAAGCCTCGAAGCCTCGAAGCCTCGAAGCCTCGAAGCCTGGAAGCCTCGATCCTCGAGCCTCGATCCTCGAAGCCTCGATGCTCGAAGCCTCGATCCTCGAAGCCTCGATCCTCGAAGCCTCGATGCTCGAAGCCTCGCTCCTCGAAGCCTCGATCCTCGAAGCCTCGCTTCTCGAATGCCTCGCTCCTCGAAGCCTCGCTCCTCGAAGCCTCGAAGCCTCGAAGCCTCGAAGCCTCGAAGCCTGGAAGCCTCGATCCTCGAGCCTCGATCCTCGAAGCCTCGATGCTCGAAGCCTCGATCCTCGAAGCCTCGATCCTCGAAGCCTCGATGCTCGAAGCCTCGCTCCTCGAAGCCTCGATCCTCGAAGCCTCGCTTCTCGAATGCCTCGCTCCTCGAAGCCTCGCTCCTCGAAGCCTCGAAGCCTCGAAGCCTCGAAGCCTCGAAGCCTGGAAGCCTCGAATCCTCGCAGCCTCGAAGGCGTGGGGCCCTCCGCGCCGCTGGTGGCTGGCAGCGTGGGACTGCGGCAGCCCTTGGGCGCCTCAGGGGCGTGCTGCGGGCGCCGCTGGGGGCGGTGCTCTAGGCCTCCTGGATGGGGTCGAAGTAGATTTCAGTCGGGCCTGTCCCTCTACAGGGGGGCTATTCAAAAATAGTCTAACAATAGTATGGGGACTATTTTTTGAGTATTTCTTTTCCGTTTTGGAGTGTTTTCTTGTATTTTTCATTTTTCGTCGAAAAATCCCCCTGTAGGGGGGCACGCCGGAGGGGTCGGAGTAGATGGGGTCGGAGGATCGCGCCGCATCGCCGATGCAGCGCCGATATGGCTTGATGCGGCGCCCGATTTTCTCCACGCCGACGTCGCCGATGCATCGCCGACGTCGCCGATGCATCGCCGGTGCATCGCCGATACATCGCCGATGCATCGCCGACGTATCGGCGATGCGGCGCGATCCCTCGACCCCATCTACTCCGATCCCGTCTAGGAGGCCTCTAGGTGCGGCGTGCTGCGGGGGTGGCCGCAGGCGGTGCGGCTGACCATGCTCGGCCAGTACTTCCAGGGGCCCAGGCCCAGACATCGGGCGCCTCGAAGAAGGCGAGACAGAGGTCTCTCGCAGTCTTTGGCCCCTCGGGGCCCTCGCCAGCCCTCGGGGCCGTCAGAGAACGGCTCGGGATGAACGGTCGGGAGGTCGGGGGCCCGCGTCTCAAACAAGTGGAGACGTCGGATGTCTGGGGGATCAGGAGGGGGAAAAACACGCAGACACAATGAATCGTCGATCCCCGGGAAAATAGATATATGTGGAAATATGGGAGTGGGGGGATCCAGAAATATGGGAAGTGGTGTGTCTATTTATTTGTGAGTCCCAGGGCCCCTTCACAGAAGATCAGTGCACTGCCTCCGCGGACGACCAGCGGCGACGGCCGACGACGGCCGACGGTGGGCGACGACGGACGACGACGGGCGACGGACGTTGGACGACGAGCGACGGACGACGGTGACGACGGATGACGGACGACAGCGACGATGGACGACGGACGACAGCGACGACCGACAGTCTTTCCTCTCGGCAACATCGTCGGCGATGCTCGGGCGATGCTGCACCGTAGGCAATTTGACCCGAAGAGCCCCCCGGGGGCGAAACGTGTGAATGGATACAGTCAGGGGCTGCCTGACCTCAGAACTTGATGATTAGCTTGCTAAGCTTGCCCACCTCCGTGCGTCTGGCAAGCCACTGCAGAGTCCACTCGCACCACAATCTGCGAGTTCGTCAGCCTGGTCGTTGAGGAACACTCCCGTGTGAGATTCCACCTGCTGCCACCTTCAGGCACTGACCTTCGCCGCCCAAGGGGCGAAATGCGTAGCCTCTTTCTCTTTTCGCTTGAGCCTCGATCCAAAACAAGTCAGAGGAGGAGGAGAAGACACCGATACCTTGGAGCAGGAGGCATGGGGGTCTGAGGTGGTCCAGCGCTGGTGCCAGCCAGCAGGAAGGGGAGGCAGGTTCGAGGTTCAGGGTTCGGGGTGTTTTTTTGCCCGTTTCGGCCTCCAGGGGCAGTTTTTGGGCCCTTGGAGCGTCAAAAACGGATCCGGGATGAAAATCTGCACCAGGTGGGCCCTGGTAGGAATGCGGGGACCGATTTTTGAGCTGGTTTGCCTTCATCCCCCCCTCCAGATTTTCTGGGGCCGCCTCCAACTACCGCTACTTGTCCTGGAGAGCTCTCGTAGCCACGGCTGGATTTTCTTCGGAATTGTGGGCAGAACGTGCCTCCTGCAGTGGTATGTGCCAGCACTTCCAGGGGCCCTGAAAATCCGCACTTCTTGAGGTGAGCAAAAATATGGCGGACGGATTTTTCAGGTTTCGGCCTCCGGGGGCCCTTGCTGGGCCCAGGGACCAGACCTTCAACGGAACGACTCAGGATGAACAGCCAGTCCCATGGGAACAGACCCAGATTCCCCGGGGTCCACGCTGTGAACAAAAGCACGGCGTCGGAGTTCTGCGAAGGTGCAGCAGGCGCATCTCGGCGCGTCGGGTGGAGGAGTCGGCCTGCCCTCAGTGGCCCCTCGGAGGGCGCTTGGCCCCTCAGAGGGCGCTTCTGCCCGCGGGCCCCCGTGGGGCTCGCAGGAGTCCCAAGGTACCTCGGAGATGTGTCGTGAGTGTGCCACTCGATTGTTTGCGGGCAGGGTTGCTGGTCGTGTGTGCCGAAGCACGTGCTGTAGGGCAGGGCCGCGCTTCGTTCGCGCGGCGGCGACCCCAGCGGTCGCGTTCGAGGCGGAGGGCCGGCATGGGCTCGGAACAGCGGCCGACGTCGAGCGCCCGAGTCCCTATATCCGAAAGAGCGTTTTCTACCGCTGCTGGCGGAAAACCGGGGGGGGTCACTACCGGTTCGAACCCCTCCCCCCCCCCCCCCTTCTGGAAAACCGGGGGGGTCACTACCGGTTCGAACCCCTCCCCCCCCCCCCAGCTCATCATGAAAAGGGGGGGGGGTCACTACCGGTTCGCCCCCCCCCCCCCTTTCCCCCTCGAAAACCGAGTGGGGGTGCGGACAGTGGTGGGGACGGTGTTGGTGGGGACAGTGGTGAGGGGACAGCGGGACAGTGGTGGGGACAGTGGGGGGACAGTGGGACAGTGGTGGGGACGGTAGTGGTGGGGACAGTGGTGGGGACAATGGTGGGAACAGGGGGGACAGTGGACAGTGGTGGGAACGGTGGTGGTGGGGACAGTGGTGTGGGGACAGTGGGAATGAGGTGGAAACACTGGGACAGTGGAGGGTACAATGGTGGTGGGGACACTGGTAAAGGCGGTGGCGAGGACGGCGGTGGGACAATGGGACAGAGGTACAGTGGGGACAGTGGTGGGGACAGTGGGGACAGTGGTGGGAACAGTGGGACAGCTCAGTGGGACAGCGGAGGAGTCAGTGGGACAGTGGGGACAGTGGGGATAGGCAGTGGTTGGGTCCGTGGAGACAGTGGGGAGAGTGGAACCGTGGTGGGAACAGTTGTGGGAACAGTGGGGACAGTGCGACAGTGGTGGGGGCACTGGTGGGGACAATAGGGACGGTGGTGGAACCAGTGGGGACAGTGGTGGTGAGGACAGTGGTGCTGGGAACAACAGTGGGGGATGTGATGCGAGCGGTGGTAGGGACCGGGAGTCGTTTGCTGGCGGTGCGTGGGGGGGGGGGGGGTCGAACCGGTAGTGACCCCCCTCCGGTTTTCGGGGGGGGGGGGAACCGGTAGTGACCCCCGGTTTTCCGGATCCCGGGGTTTTCGGAAAGGGGGGGGGGAGGGGTTAGGGGAGGGGGGGTTTTGCGGGAGGGAGGGGGGGGGGGCGGGGGAGGGGTTCCAGCAGGGGGGGGGGATTTTCGGAGGGGGGAGACCCCCGGGTTCCGGAGGAAAAGGTTGGCAATTTTCCACAGTAAAGCGGCGGTGGATCACGCTCTCTCCTATATCCAGGGTCGGTCCGTGGAGGCCCGGTCCGCGGGGAGCCGTGTCCACCACTGTTCCGTGGAGGCCCCCTGTCCGTGGGGGGTCGACCTGTGTAGGCCCGCTCTCAGCGCGGTGGGCATGGGCGAGGACTGCTCAATAAACATCGACATAAACATAAGCGTGCACATAATTATAAGCATAAACATTAAGCATATGCGTAGACATATACACAAACATAAACAGTCACATACACATACACATGCACATACACATACACATAGACATAGGCATAAACATAAACATAAACATAAACATAAGGGAAACGAACCATAACATAAACATAAAGACTCGGAGGTTTGCGTGGATTTCTTGGAGCCGCGCTGGGACCCCTGGCGGTGCCTCCGGCGACGCCCCTGGCGCGCTCCGCGCGCCAGGGAGGGGGGTCCAGCGCGGATCCGAGAAATCCGCGCGGGTCTCTGAGTTTTTATGTTTACGTCACTCTTCGTGCCCCTAATAATGCAGGGCTGGGCTTGTCGCTCAAAGGTAGGGGCCGAGGGGGAGTGCGGGATTCCCCTCCGACAAGAGCAGTCCGCCGGGCCGTTCGTCGGCACAGCATCCCTGGGCCGGGGTGGAGAAGCAGGCGGAGGAGGAGGGATGAGCGGGAGGCAGAAGGTCCATTGGATCGGAGCACAGTTCTTTCTGGGCCCCTGTCCTCTACACGACCTTCACCTCCATTACGCTGGGTGCCCTGTTCGATGCGTACCTGCTGATCCTTGGTGGCTCCAACACGTTCGTGGGGGAGGTCGAGTCCATCGGAGGCCTCACCGCCCTGGCCGTAGCAGTGCCGATCGGCTGGGCGTGCGACCGCTTCCACAAGCCGGTGGCGGGCCCAGTCAAAGCCGCGCAGGCGAAGGGCTCCTCTTGCCCCCGCCTCCGCCGGCGTTCCGGGGGTTGGAGGAGCTGGGTCGAGGCGGGTGCGCGAAGGTGGAGGAGGAGGAGGAGGAGGAGGAGGAGGAGGAGGAGGAGGAGGAGGAGGAGGAGGAGGAGGAGGAGGAGGAGGAGGAGGAGGAGGAGGAGGAGGAGGAGGGAGGGAGGAGGAGGAGGGGAGGAGGAGGAGGAGGAGGAGGTGGAAAGCCTGCGCCCGCCCGATGTAGAAGAGGGGAGGTGGAGCCGCTGGCGGGCCTCCCCTCGCCCTCGCCCTCGCTCGAGCCCCAGCACTCCCGTGCTCTGGAGGCATCCTCTCGAAGGGGGCTGTGCGCTCGTGAAAGGAGCTTCTGCGGGGTTGCTGGGCTCGACTCGTCTCGCTCGCTCGCGCCTCGCACGTTTTGTGCTGCACTCGGCTCGCGCGCAGGCGCCCTGCTCCGAGGGTCGAGATTCCCTTCGCGCAGCGTGGGGCATGTGATGTTGCCAGACTCTCGTTCCGTCTTCTGCCACGGTGCGGCCAGCAAGCCGAATATTTCCTCCGGCCACACCGGAGCTGTGCGTGCTGGTGGAGGCACTGGCGGGTGGAGGAGGAGGAGGAGGAGGAGGAGGAGGAGGAGGAGGAGGAGGAGGAGGAGGAGGAGGAGGAGGAGGAGGAGGAGGATGAGGAGGGCGTGAGAGACCCTTTTCGCCCCTTGGGATGGGATCAGTTAGCGGGCCCGCGCGGCACGTGTCGAGAGGCGGTCGCTGATGGTGCGGTGGCGGGGAGGCATGGGCGCGTGCCGAAAACCCTTGTGGACCTCCACAAGGTTGGTCCAGACCCCTCAGGGAGGGAGGGAGGGTCCTCCTCCTCCTCCTGCTCCTCCTCTCTTTCCCCTCCTCCTCGTCGTCGTCGTCCTCCTCCTCCTTCATATTGCTCCTGCTGCTCCTCCTCCCCCTCCTCCTTCTGGCCGGGCGCAGTCAACACGCTGACATAAGAACCACGTTTCGGAGAACAAATAGGGAACAAACAATGACATGAGCATTACAAGTCGGAGGTCCGCACGGATTCCTCGGATCGGCGCTGGGGCCCCCTGGCGGCGCCTCCCGCGACGCCCCTGGCGCGCTCTGCGCGCCAGGGAGGGGGGGGCCCAGCGCAGATCCGGGAGATCTGCGCGGACCTCCAAGTTTTTTTACGTTTACGTCATGGTTTGTTCCCCGGACATTTTTCCGTGGACCAAACAGAAAGCAAGCAATGACGTAAGCATAACAACCCAGAGGTCTGCGCAAATTTCTCGAGTCTGCGCTGGACGCTTGGGGCTCTGGATGGGCTGTGGTTCTCGGGCGGTTTTCCTGCGGTCGAGGTCGGGGCACATACACTCGTGGCCGAGAGGCCGGCCGTGGTCAGAGAGGGGAGCCCTTTCGTTCCTCCCTCGGCGCTCCCTGTGGTAGCACGATGGCTACAGGTGGGGCCGAGGTATCGTGCCGCATCGCCGATGCATCACGACGACGACGACGACGGCGACGGCGATGGCGACGACGACGGGCGCCATGGCGATGACGACGATCGCCGATGCATGCGGAGCCCGATTTTCGTCATGCCGATGAATTGCTGGCGTCGCCGACGCATCGGCCATGCCACGGCGATGCGGCGCGATCCTCCGACCCCATCTTTGTCGCCCAAGAAGTTCAAGGATCTGAATCGGATCCTGGGCGTTCGCTCGGAGCTTCTGGTTCGTCCTTCTTTGGCTCAGTGTCCACCGTCCTCCTAGCCGAGCGCTTTTTGGAACTCTAGGCAGGGGTGTGCCCGCACCCCGCCTTGGAGGGCCTCCAGATCGGGGATGCCGTGGCCAGCGCCGTGAGGGGAGCGCGCACCGATCTCGGCCAGGCCGTCGTGCTCCCCACCTTCAAGCATCCGGGCGCCGCCGGCGTCAATTTGTGTGTTCTCCGACAAGAGAAAAGTTGTTGGACGTTTTCTGTGTGTGCTGGTTGGTTTTGTTGTGCTCTGCCCGCAGTTTGCTGTTGGACTCCCCGCGGCTTCCCCTCCCCCCCTCCGCGCCGTGCCTGCCCCTCCCCCCCTCCGCGCCCGCCCCCAGAGCGTCCCTCGGCTGCCCCGGCCGCGTCCTGGATGCAAGCCGCCGCGACGAGGAGCATCTGTGTCCCAACCCTCCTATGTTGGGTTCTCGTTTTGAACAGAGCACTGCGGTCGCACACCTTCTTCTATTCCCCCCTTCTTCTGCCTCCTTTGGCGCTTCTCCTTGGGTGGCTGCCAACTGTGCAACCGTTGCCACTTGCGTGGGCTCTTGGGAGGCACGGCTGAGTAGCGGAGTATGCGAGACCTTGCTGCTCCCTGGGCGGCTGCGAACTGCGCAACTGGTGCCACTTTCGTGGGCTCCTGGGAGGCACGGCGGAGTCGGTGCGCACGCGCACCCAGACGAGACCACGCTTCTCCCTGTGCGGCTGCGAACTGCGCAACTGTCGCCATTCTCGT